TTTCACTTTCTCTGTTCTCCCAGCCACAATACACACACGTCTGAATAATCTCCTTGCCCATATATCCTTGACACTGTTCACAAACAAAATGTTTTTCAATGGTGTCCATGTGATCTGCAACACTGAAAATCTTTTCGATGAAGTAATTGGATCTTGGGAAAAGATTTGGAATGTGCGATTTATAAGTTCCAAAAGGTCAGCACTGCCAACTTTTGTTAGTCGGTGTGTCAGGGTGAACAAAATGTACATCAGTAGACTTTGTGCTCTGGTAACTGTGGAGTCACTGTGAACTTCCTCATTCCAGTATCTTTTATCCTAAAGAAACAAAAAAAAAAGAATTAGTTTTCATGCAAGACTTCATACAAATATGTACTATCAGCAGTCAGGGATGAGACAGAAATTCATCAAATTTAAAAAATAACTGATAATTTACTCTATATACATCCTTCAATCAAGCATTATATAAAAAAGAGTTTTAAGGTATTTGATGTATAATGAAGGGATTTTGAACTATTTTAAATAATTTTAAACAAGTTAAATATGGATACTAGATAACGATAAAAGTGACATGAACCAAATTCACAAGACTGATAACACGTAAGGAGGCTGTCATTTTGCACATTTAAAGATTTTGAAAAGTTATATGCCCGTGATCAAAAGAACAAGAATTTTGATTACTCAAAATTTCTGCGGTAAATAAGTCACTTTATTTCATATTCTAATAAAGAGAGAGTTTATGCATATTCTCACCAAGAGATTTATTTCAAATTCAAATTACTTTTACAATATCTTACAAAACCATGCGCTGCCCATAGACTTCAATGTTAAATTCATGGTGAAATTAATTGAACAATAATCAATTTTTTGGAAATTCCTCTTGTGGAGCATTTTTATTTGATAACATCTTAAAAATACTACCATTATTAAAAATATCGGACCATCTTTTTATTAGGTACAAAATATGGTCGTTATACATTGAATACCTTAATGACCCCATGATTTCATTTCATCTAATGATCTGTATGTAATTAGTTTGAAACTTTATTGTACACATTTATCTAAGGTTCCTTGGAATAATATAACTGTTTTCAAAAAATATTTGTTTACTTTCTCCTTCTTGTGTCAAGTGTATAAATTAAGTTTATCAAATTTATATAGATTACATAAAATGCCCCAAATCAGTGATCATATCTGTGGGGTAATTGATAAAGGCATCGAACTGGCAATCTCATATTCGTAATTTCTATTCCCAGCGTGTACATTGAAGAATTTTATTCAGTAAATAAGGCCATGCACTATTTTGGCAAAGCTTGCTTACGTCATGTAAATCCTTAGACCACTATGCGAGAATAGTAGGGTATGGGTTATATAGAGACAAACTGACAGGAAGCATAATAATAAATATTAGGGTTAAGGACGATATCTCGAAACATACAGATATTTGCCTCTAACATATGGTTTACGATACAAGCATGAAAATATTTAAGATATCGATATGAAACAATACACTAATGACATATCCAAAATTGAAATGAAAGTACCTGTCCTTGGAAAATGGTGGCTTGTATGAAGCAAAGAGATGATGGTTATTATGATAATATTGAAAATACACTTTAGAATTAAGAACTAATCAGTTGTTAATTACAGTGGCTGCAAGGTTATTGTTGACAAACCAATCATGTAGAATCGTTCGTGATTGTTTGTGCTATGTGCGGGATCGTGCCAGTATCAGACTTAATCATTTGTAGTTTTAATCAAACTTTTTCACTGCTTCAGATGATTAGACATGAAAATGTTAAAAGTTCACTGTGTAAATAGTTTCCAGAACATTTGGTATTAATTGTAAGTCCATCAGGTACTCTCAGCTCATAACAAAATATGGATTCTCTAATTTTAACAATTTGAAATTTTAAAACAAACTTGTTTTTTTGTAATCTCAACTTATAGAGGTGCGCAATATTACCGGTATATCTGTATATTGCGGTAAATCTCATGGCGACAATATATCGCGATATAAAAGTCAGATACCGGTATTTTACGATATATATGAATATATAAAACAATTTTGAATTGTAAGAAAATGTTGAAATAAAGTGTTTTATCTCGTCAACAACACCACAGGCATTTTTATTCGTGTCAAATAACAACACCGGATATCCGAAGTTTCACACTAACACAAGGGTCTGGGTATGGTTTGATCTTTGAAATTCCGAAAATCTAGACTCTAAAAATTGACGTTAATTCTATTAACCTTAATGCTTCCATTAAGGATAAATAACACAAACTTTTTTTTCAGAAATCGGCATTATTTTTCATAGATTTATATTTAAATCGACAACCCGAATAATGTTTACCAAGTAGAGTGGGAGAATTTTATTAGATTTTGTCATAAAGTTAAAAAATTGTGCAAAATTTTGTATGGAATTATATAGATCTATGGCAAAATAAAATCTCAAATCTTAACACCAAGGAAAACCTACGATTTCTTTATTTTTTCAGGGATTTATTATTTATATCAATACAAATCAAAATCACTCAAAAAATATATATCAACCCGCGCATCCATTTTTTGTTTGTGATAAGTACCCTTAATTATCAATAAAATTATATTTTTTCAAAGGATTATTTTATCAAAGTGTTTAACAACTCTGGTTTCCTGCTCTATTTCTCTATATTATGTCATATTTTTGCGGGAAAGGTACTTTTGGGTTTTAGTTTCTCATGTTTCTAGTGTGTTAAAATGGCCAAAGTGTTCGAGATTGTGAAGAACTCAAAGGTTAAAGCTGTCGTTTGGCAAACCTTTTCACAAATTTTAACGTTTATTTGAATTTTATTTACAGTAAAATGGTCTGTAAGTAGTTGTTGTGTCATATTTTTATGTTTAAGAGTAAAGAGTTCTTCTAAAATATATCAATTAAGTAAAATATATTAGTTTTTATTCAAATTTAATTTAATAAAAATATATCTGCAATATATTGCAATATTCGAGTAAAATATTGCAATATATCGCAATATGGTTTTCACCCGCAATACCCAACTCTATCAACTTAGGTACAGAGTTTCGGCATTTAATAATACTTGTGTTTTAGTCAGTGTTCTTTGATGAGGTTATTATTGTTTTTGTAAAGTTTAAGTCAATCAAATTGATGAACTTTAAGCATTAATTTCAAAGCACAAATAATTTGATATAGAAAAATTTGTTGATATAACGTCAACAAAAAATTGTAACGCGCAACGCGGCCGAGATTGGGTGTTTGGTGATATGTCTTGTATCACCGAGGCGTTACACTAGGTTCGTTAACCTGTTAACTCAGGTTTTTGTTGACCAAATAAAATTACAATCAAATATTTAGAATGAAATAATACAATGGATCAACGGGTTTCTTCTTGATTGGATAACCACTAGCTGTGGTCAACGGGTGTCTCCCGTAAGTAGATTTCTTCGGTCCTGCCACTTCTCACTATACTGACTCCTGGCACTTCCCCCACTTCTCACTGTGGTATGCCACCTCTCTCGATCAATACTACCAAGTGACTGCCTTATTCAGGTCTTACGCTTTTGGGTGGTCTACAACACTTAGCTCTCTATCCCCCGCAACTGTCTGCCTTATTCAGGTCTTATGACCGTGTGTAAGAGGAGAAACAAGCTAAGATTTCACAACTCCGTCACCAGAGAGGTCTCAAAGGTCCTGCATTACAATCAGTATTATTCCAATGCAGTCTGTGTATAGTGGCAGATTCATACTACTTGTATGATCGTAAAATTAATATTTTTTAGTGTTTAGGACTTTAAACATAAACGTAGGTCTAACGTTAATACGAAACTAAACAACACCCATTTCCGTTTCACTACCCTCCCCTCAAGATTATATGCGTCCCGCATATGATTAACTATTTACAATATTTACATCTATATACAATTCTCTGTTATGCCTGACAACTGTGACACTCTAATACAAGACGTAGTCTTCCATCCACTGTGGTTTTCTTTTGCATCTAACAGGGATGTCTTCTCCATCAAAATGGTTATTTGACTCTTGTTCTTCCTCTACTTCTTCACCCAGAGGTTCAGGCTCGTCCTCTGGTGCCGTCCTCTCATCATCAGGTATTTCGCCTTGCAACGTTTGAGGGTACCTACGACGCATTCTGTCGACGTGTATCACTTGTGGTTTTCCACCACGTCCACAGTCAACTTTGTAGGTGATATCTGTCATCTTTGAAAGCACCTTGTAATGACACTGCCAGTAACTGGTAAATTTTGGCGAGCGACCTGCCTTTCTATTAGGAAAGAGCACATAGACTTGGCAACCTGCCTCAAATTTCTGCCATGACAACTTTTGGTCGTGATACGTCTTCTGTCGAACCATTGCCGTTTTAATGTTCTCTCTGACATGTTTGTGTGCACTCTCCAAGGTTCCTTTTAATTCCCAGGCCCACTTGTCTTTGGAAATGTTCTGCACTAATCTGGGCATTTCGAACATGATGTCAAGCGGTGTTGACACTTCTCTTCCCAGCATCAGGTAATTTGGAGTATAGCCAGTTGTCTCGTGAACGGAAGCCCTGTAAGCCATCATTACAAATGGTAGGTGTTTATCCTAATCTGAATGATGTTCATTCACGTAAGCGCTTAACATTGTCACTAGCGTCTTGTTAAAACGCTCTACCATTCCATCACTTTGTGGATGGTAGGGGCTGGTCCATGTCTTCTTGATTTGGACAACTTGACACATCTCCTCAAACAGTGCACTCTCATATTGTCGACCTTGGTCAGAGTGAATAACTGATGGCACGCCAAACCGAGCAATTACTTCTTCAACAATTAGTTTTGCCATTGTCTTGGCTTCCATGTTCGGCATAGGGAAGGACTCGGTCCATTTCGTGAAATAGTCCGATACCACCAATATGTATTTATTGCCATCCTCTGTCATTGGTAGTTCTACCAAGATGTCCGTGGCAATCCTGTCCATGGGTAAACCACTCTCAACCAATTTCATAGGCGCTCATTTCTTCATTTGAGGACTCTTCCTCTTGCAACATATCTCACAACCTGCTATGTACATTCTGGTGTCTGCCTGTAAACCAGGCCAGTAGAACTTTTGCCTTATTCGAGCAAGTGTCTTGCTCACACCAAGATGTGCAGCTATCCTCACATCATGACAGTACTCGAATATTGTCCGTCGTTGACTACTTGGTACAATAGCCTGCAAGCGTATGGTCTTTCCATCTTCCTCCTCAAATCTTCTGAATAGAATGTCATTCTCAATATGATGATTGTTCCACTGTGACCATTACGATCGTAACACATAGCCTTGGCCACTAACCACACTGTACTCAGGCCTTGTCTTCTCCTTGACCCATCGTTTGACAAGAGAGATCTCATTGTCTTGCATGTCTTTCATAGATAACAATGGATTATCATCATCGTCCCTTGAATCACTGGCTTGGGATATGGCTCTCACTTCTTCCGGCCTGTTACCTTCCAAATTAAATCTTTCTCCGTGTTTGGATCAAAACCACACTGGCGACATGGCACACGACTCAATGCATCTGCATTCTGTGTTGTGTACCTGGCCGGTGTTGTATCTCAAAACTGTAAGTACTGAGGATTTCCAACCAACGTGCCAGCTGTCCTTCTGGATTCTTAAATTTGAAAAGCCACCTTAAGGAACTATGGTCTGTCCGGACTATGAACGTTTTACCATAGAGGTAATGCCTAAAGTGTTTGACAAAGTGGACCACGGCGAGCAATTCCTTTCGTGTAACGCAATATCTGCGCTCACACTTTGTCAAAGTCCGACTTGCATAAGCTACAACCCTCTCTTGACCATCAATCTTTTGTGATAGGACTGCGCCTATACACACATTACATTGCTGGCATCCGTATCTAAAATGAAGGGATGAAAGAAATCTGGATGCCTTAAAATTGGAGTGTTGGTCAGCTTATTTCTTAGGGTGTCGAATGCCTCTTGACATTCTTTTGATCAAGCAAAGGCGCAACCTTTCTCTGTCAGCGTGTGCAGGCATTTTGCAATGCTTGAGAAATCTTTGATGAATCTCCTATAATAGCTGCATAGCCCAAGAAATGAGCGTACCTCAGTGGCGTTAGTAGGCACAGGCCACTGTTCTACTGCAGCTGTTTTGTCTGGGTCAGTCGCTACACCTTTCTCTGATACTACATGTCCAAGGTAAGTCACCTTGTTGGCAAACAAGCAGCATTTCTTGGCTTTTAGTTTAAAACCTGCGTTTTGCAGTCTGTCAAAAACTCTTCTAAGGCTTGCCAACATTTCCTCAAAGGTTTTGCCTGTCACTATCACGTCGTCCAGGTAAACAAGACAGATATCCCGGTGAAGGCCTGCAAAAACACTTTCCATTAGGCGCTCAAATGTTGCAGGAGCACAACATAAACCGAATGGCATGACCTTAAACTGGAAAAGTCCACGACGTGTGGCAAGGGCTGTCTTTTGTTTGTCGTCTGGCTCCATCTCTACCTGCCAATATCCTGAGCAGAGATCTAGAGTAGAGAACCACGAGCTACCACTCAATTGATCCAGTGTCTCGTCTATTCTGGGAAAGGGGGTATGCGTCCTTGATTGTACAGCTATTTAACTTGCGGTAATCAATGCAAAAGCGGAATATACCGTCCTTCTTTTTAGCTAGCTCAATAGGCGCTGACCACGTGCTGTTTGATGGCTCGATCACACCTCTTTCAAGCATATCGTTCAGCTGTTTGTCAACCTCCTCTGTAAGATGAGCTGGTACTCTCCTTGGTGGTATTTTGATAGGATGGTTGTCCCCAGTATCAATCCTGTGTTTGAAGATGCCTGTACGCCCCAAATCTTTGTCAGATTTTGCAAAAAGATTGGTATACTCAAACAAAAATTTATTAGCTTCTCTTTTCTGCTTCCGTGTCAAGTGGTTCTTCAGCATGTCAACCAAATCAGGTCTTAACTTCTTATGTTTGCTTGCCGCATTCTTTTCTTGTGACTCAGCCACTCTGACTTCACTGAGTTGTCCAATAATCGTACCTGGGTAAATGACTTTGGATTCCTCGCCAACATTGAGCAAACGAACTGGTACTGTCTCTTGTGGTAAGACCAGTGTTCTGGCTGTTATGTAGCCTTCTCTTGGCATGTCAGACACAAATGGTTCTACCAAACATGTATTCCTTGGAACATGTTTGCAGTCCTTCAAGACTCGTCCCTGCGTGATGATCTCACTTCTAGGTGGAATGCTGACTATCTTTGTTGCGGTTATTCTGTTGCAGCCTATGTAACCCTCAACAAACATTGGGATTATCTTATCTCTGATGTGAAGCACCTTTTGGCTCATGTCAACCATGCATGCATTTGACAGTAGAAAGTCAAGCCCCAGTATTCCATGTGCCTGGATCTCCGCAATGACAGTAGTCGTATGCGTTACCATACCCTCAATATTAAGTGTTAAGTCCGCCTTACCCTTGACAGACAGCTCACTTCCATTGGCAGCTAAGATACTCTGGTTAACCTTCTGCTGCAATTTTCTCGTACATTGCTGAGGACAGCAATGTCAGTGTTGTCCCTGTGTCAACCAGGAAGTTAGCTTGGGCACCCTGCACAGAAATTTCTATGTACATGCCAGCTTCGTCTATTGAAGATCCAACACCAATTGATCCACTTGGACAGACTGACGTCTGTTTACTTCGTACTGGTCTGCCTAATCCCTTTTTCTCTTTTGAATCCTTGTGTTCACTTTCACAGGGTCGTCTCTTCAGCTTTGGGCAATTGCGTTTTATGTGGCCTTCCTTGTTACATTCATAACAACGCAATGGTTTGCCTCTCGCTTGTTTGTCATAGGTTTTACTGACTGACCGATTCAGCTTTAGTTTTCGAATCTCGTTGGTTAACATATTCATGTTAGCCTCCATGAACTTCATCCATGTTTCAAAATTGTTAAGGCTAACCTCAGCAGATGAGTGCTCTCGTGCCGATACTCGTAAATGACCTTTTCCTTCTAGGTTTTTGCTCTCTGCACGATTATTAGCCTCGAGTTCGACGGTTAGCCGGATGGCTTCATTTAGGTTTTGAGGACGAGATTGTTTGATGCTGATCCTCATTTCTGAATCCACCAAGGCATCTATGAACGCATCTTTGGCCAGGGTTTCTCGCACATCACCAGATGCTGATGCGTAGGCCAAATTAGTTAATCGTCTAGTGGCCAGACCTAACTCTGGTATTGACTCAGATGCTCTTTGCCTTCGTTCCTTTAGTTATACACGATACAGATCTGTTTGGTTTGGAGGGGAAAACCTCTCCTCAAGGGATCTGACGAGGGTCTTAAAGTGCTGTACAGTATCGCTTGGCATGTCACCTAACACTGATTGTGCTTGGTCACGCAGTGATACAGCTAGGTAAAGACCCTTCTTATCTTCCGTCCAGCCGTTTATAACGGCACAGGCCTCAAAATAAGACTTATAGTCAAGCCAGGAACTGGTTCCGTCAAATGTGGCTGGCTTGATTATATGGCCTGTCTTGGCATTGTCCGTCCCTATTGACTGTCTCCGTGGTTTTGGCGTGTCAAACAGATAGCCCGTCACAACGTCGTCAATCCCAGCGTTTGGTGTGCAGCTTGGTCTGCCTTCGTCTGGAAATCTAAATTTAGGCCGTGTGCCGTACTCGTCAAATGACACATCTCCTGACATACCGGCCGGTTGATTATCAGTTCTGTGTGTCGCATATCCAGAATCTTGGTTTGCCGCATTTGTCTGCCCATCGTTGCTGGTTGGCGTTCTCATCCTTTCTAAGAGCTCCTCCATCCGCTCGATAGTTTCTGACACCTTCTTAGATGAATCCATGGTCAACAAAATCCCAACGCTTGCCACCAAATAATGTAACGTGCAACGCGGCCGAGCTTGGTGTTTGGTGATATGTCTTGTATCACCGAGGCGTTACACTAGGTTCGTTAACCTGTTAACTCAGGTTTTTGTTGACCAAATAAAATTACAATCAAATATAATACAATAATACAATGGGGTTCTTCTTGATTGGATAACCACTAGCTGTGGTCAACGGGTGTCTCCCGTAAGTAGATTTCTTCGGTCCTGCCACTTCTCACTGTACTGACTCCTGGCACTTCCCCCACTTCTCACTGTGGTATGCCACCTCTCTCGATCAATACTACCAAGTGACTGCCTTATTCAGGTCTTACGCTTTTGTCTACAACACTTAGCTGTCTATCCCCCGCAACTGTCTGCCTTATTCAGGTCTTATGACCGTGTATAAGAGGAGAAACAAGGTAAGGTTTCACAACTCCGTCACCAGAGAGGTCTCAAAGGTCCTGCATACGATTAGTATTATCCAAATGCAGTCCCTGTATAGTGGCAGATTCATACTACTTGTATGATCGTAAAATTAATATTTTTTAGTGTTTAAGACTTTAAACAGAAACGTAGGTCTAACGTTATACGAAACTAAACAACACCCATTTCCGTTTCAAAATGAAATAATTTTTTTTAAGTTCTATAACTAATATAATATCGAGATACCTATCTTACTGGATAAAGAAGATATGGGCATCTTAAATACAACTCTGGATGGGATTGTCAACATGCTGTCTGTTATTGATAACAAGCTGAATTATGTGAACAACAAGGTGAGTGATCTTGATAACAAGCTGAATAAACTGAACACCAAGGTGAGTAATCTTGATAACAAGATGAATAAACTGAAAACTTACAACAGCAGTGAATTTTGTTTGATTCATGCCAAATCATCCCAATCAGAAGTCACTAACAGGCAAGACAATATGAGAGGAGGAGGAGGAAGCACTTACCAGAAAAAAGAAGGACCAGGGGGGATCAGGAGAGATTAAGAAAACCAAACAAAACCAAACCCCCAGATTGTCCCTGAAAAAAAAACAGGGTTTGTGCTATTTTTGGAGCATGGAACAAAGATTTTGTGCTACAAGTGCAGGAAATTTGGCCATTGGGCTAATCAGTGTATAGAGGATGAGGAGGATCACCGATTGGTAAAAAAAAAATATAAAAAAACTGGAGAATAAGCCTCAGAAACCCAAGAGGAAACTACCCCTGATGACAGAAAAGGCCCAGAAGAAGAAAAAGTAAATTGATGTATTTTTCATTCTGAATGAAAATTGCCTTGTTCTAATCTGTCTTATGTGTGTGTGTGTGTTATTGTTTTTCAGTAAAAAATCCAGTTTGATCCGGCTGGACTGGGCTGTCTAGACTGTGAATTAATGCGTGACGTCATAATCACATTCTTGAGTCGCTGCCAAAATTGTAGGAACAGCGTATAGTATACACCTATTTACTGGCTATGAGGACAATAGCAAGTTTATCGTCCCCCAAGACAGCAAACTATTTCCCGAGGCGCAGCCGAATGAAATAGTTTTCTGTCGAGGGGGACGATAAACTTGCTATTGTCCGAATAGTCAGTAAATAGGTGTTTTATTATACCGATGCTGACTTAACTTTTGTTAACTTTTGTGAGTCCAGGGTACACACAATTATGATATTCCATATTATACCGCTTCTAACTTAACTTTTGTTACGTCATAATATATACGCGTCACAGTCCATGTAAAATCAGAAGTTTTTCAGAGATGAAAAGCGAGGGAAATCGAATGCTGCTGTTGAATAGTTTGAGGACTATTCACCATGGGCAAATAGCACAAAAACTATTTCACGGTAGAGACTGTTTAGAAAAAATAGCATGTTTATTCGTCTTATTTTTATATAGAAAAAATAAACAGAGGTATAGTAATAAAAACTATATACAGTGTAAACATTAGATTTTAAGGTTATGTACTAACACACCTAGACCCCCCTAGGGTTAGGGTTAAGGGGTTAGTTAGGGCAAGGGGATAGGGTTAGGGGTAGGATTAGGGCTGTACTGAGTTGACCCACCTATCCCCCAGACCCTAAGACCTGTATTGAGTTGACCAACCTATCCCTCCAGACCCCCAACCTGCACTCTGTTGACCCACCCATGGGCTTAGCCAATCAGAATCCACCATTTTTTTTACCTCATTTGATTCAGTTGACCCGCCTATCTAGACCCCTTATGCTACTGGCAGTTCAAAGGTTTTGGAGTGTTATTGGTTCTTATTGGTAGTTTGGTTGTCAAGTTGATTTTCATTGGTTTTATTCTTATGGTCATTGATTTTACCGCCAAAATGTTGAGAAATGACCAAGACTGTATTTCATGGACTCCACGACTTTGACCTTTGGAGACTGACAATTTCCACTTTCTGGTAAGTACTAACTTTCCTTATTACTAATTGTCAACTAATATGTCTATTCCATAGATTTGCATTTATTTAAGATCGCAATTTCACTTCATATTAATTGAATGTATGACCATGAGAGAAAGATGCTATTTTTATGATTGGAATTATTGATTGTAAAGATCAGTAATGTATTATATTATAAGTGTAAATTGTTATATTCAAGTTACACCATATATTTTATGACCCAGATATTTGATTA